GGCACATTCCGTCCCTATACGTCATGAGTGGCGGGGTCCTATTATGAACCTATGGATGATAATCTACTCACCATTGAGGAGGAGTTTGGAATTATCATGAACTTCCGAAAAATGGACTCCCTTTGATCGTGAGTCTTTCAGTTGGTTGTGCTTTACAAAGCTGCTAGGTGCCGAGGTTGCAAGAAGAAAGAAGCTGAAGTGTACCTAGCACTGCTTTTATTTTGCGTATTAGTATAGGTATAGGTATAAGTATTTGAAGAAGCCAGAGGCCCTGAAAGCTTAAACGGAAAAACTATGGATGGCAATAATCTGGCTTTACATGGGAGTTGTCGGATGACTAAAACCTGAGTCCTCGAAAACCAAAAGAAACTGACATCAGTCCCACAGAAGCTGGCACGAAGGATGGAGCCATTCGGAGGGTTTTAGGGTCGCGAACATGGAAAGGCGATAGATTTCGAAAAAAACCACAGGCAAATGCTGCAGAGCCGAATTGGTTTTTCAACGCTCATTCCTCAAGGTAGATGCCCTTTAGCAGGTCTAAAGACATACTCAACCCCATTTGCGTCGAAATCATTACCAAATGACATTAGTGAGCTGAATGGTAGAAGCAAGTGGGGGGGGGAGTGTCCAGAATGTTGCTGACCACCTCGGAAAATTAAAAGGCAGCTATATCTCTCGTCGCCACTTTCAGTGAGAATGAAACGGCTAGGGCAAGGCCCTCTTCAACGAATGAAGCTTTATTTCACCGGGAAAACGTCGTGCATGGACGATAACGTCATTTTTCGAGATACGAATTTCTTCAAACATTTCAAGAATCTAGTGAAGTTGGCTGCATACTGTATGATGTAAGGTTCAAGAAACCACAGCTTCTTCCAACTCCATCATTCTTCACATTGGTTCCGTTATGTTGTACCTGTTAGGAGGGGAGAGATTGTTTCATCTGGCTGAGAATTTTTCGCGTCCAATTCCACCAATGGGGAACACCAAAGTTTTTTTAACAGAATCATTCTTTCATAGAGTAAGTGTTTAGCACGTAAACCTCATGGCGGTCTGCGGCCGATTTTTGAACAGGTACATATCGCCGCAATCGGTCGGGAGGGGCGGGGTGAGCACGCCCCAGGCTGCCTTCTCTATCAATAGTGATCGACTGGTGATCGATGCAGGAAGAAAACAACCAGTGGTAGGGTACCGCGATCGCGCGTTTGCTCATTTCAGCCCTCTTTACTTCTCCCCGGCTAGCTGCGGCGGCATCAGCTTTTTGTCGTGACTGGGGGAGCGGGTGCGGGCAGTTTTGCTGCGTGGTCACTCCAAATCACCTCCTTCCCCTCCACCACGAAAAGAGAGAGGTGAAGGACGGCTGTAAGAGAACACTTATGTGACTTCATCTAAAAACCCACAACATAATAGTTCTGCTTTGAGTCGTCTTTCAATGTCGTGCCTTTGATCGCAGTCTTTCAAAAACTACCATCTTACCGAAGAGCTCGCACTGGCCGCTAGGTCCTTTTTCGAAACTGTTCGACAACGCGGATAGAATTTCTGGTGGAAAAATCATTGACAAAGTGCTGTATATTTCGAGCGATAATGTAAAATGAATCGTGCTGTCGGTGCTCATTTACCAATCCTTAATTTCAGCCTTTCCACTCGCTCTACCGTTGGTTGATGTCATGGATCTATCAGCTTCTCCTTCTGGCAAAACAGTATCCATTGCTTCATTTCTTCCATTCTTTCGCTAAACCAGTTGAATGTGAGTCCTACTTGACCTCAAAGTCGCCAGTAATCAAGGCCATTCAAAACTAAGGAGATGAACAAGTGTCATTCGCAATCATCTTCGATGCTATAATTTTAGCCTACACTGCAAGTTTCCATGAGGGAACCGACGGTTTCCCATGCTCCAAGCAATCGTACTTCTACCTTGCAAATAGTGTACGTTTTAAAGTAACGTATTTTCAATTGAGAATTCCGTTTTTATGGATGCTACTGAATGTGTAGGTTCTTTTCCAGGACGGGAGATCCCGACCACAAACCACAAGTTTGGTAGACATGAATCGATCGGATCGGCCGTGCACTTTGAATTCGGCAAAATGCTCTGTGTAAGTCGTTATCAACTCAACGAGTATCGTCTGCTTCGTTGCCAGATACACTCTTCTAGGGAAACTACATAATTCTATACCTGGGTCGTTACACAGCTATACACTTGTTCGCTGCTGGTGATGGGGCCTGCCAAAAGGGGATATGTTCTGCGCGGCGCCAGCTCGTTTTTTTCTTTCGGTGAACTACAAGACTGTGTCACATCGTTCGTGTATGCGTTCGTTGTACTTGCTGATCCGCTTCAGCAACTAATGGAGAACGGGTGGGCGACGCGCAAAATCCAGTCCCACTGATACGTCCCTTCGTCCGCAGCGAACAAGGCTATAACAGTCGCCGGACTTCAAAGGTGCTGTCACGTGCAGAAATTTCGCGCTTCTTCCGTACGTGGTTGCCGTCAAGCGCTTCACCTAACAACTTGCACGTAGTTTCGGCAAGTGTAGCACACCCTTTGCCCACTATCTGTTGCGGTTCAAGCAGCGCGAGTGGCGACATCGCCTCCAAACGAACGCGGTAGCTTAGAGCAGCTCTAAAGGCGCTAGGGTAGCTTACTAATCGCTTTTAGCTGGTGGATCTGACACCAAAGCATTACTCCATTGAATCGATCGGGTCTTCATACAAGCGTGATACCATGTGCAACCACACTTTCGCCGCCCTCACCCCATGCCAGATTCGAACTATGCCTGCTCCTTACATTTATAACTTTCTGAGTTCCAACTATAACAAACTTATAGTCTGCCATTTCCACAGAATTTTTGGGCTAGAATATGTTTGTTTGTTTGTGTTGGTTTGTTTAACATATTTGTGGACCACCATAGAAGTGACGAGCTTGAGAAGAAGCCTGAATGTGTTCGACGCTATCGTAGATTGCACAAACAGTTCTTCAATATGATGCTTAAAAGACTTTTTATCACTGATCTTCAGCCTGCTGACATTCAAGGCTCGCCTCTGTCAGAAAGCACCACTCGACTCACGTCAGGCGTTGACATACCTCTAAGCTGACCTTGCCCCGCGGAATTAAGCCGTTGGCGATTGAGACCACATGGATTAGTGAACAGGGCGAACTATTAGGCAACCAAAAAAGTTCGTGCGGTTTTTTTTGTTTACTTTTATGAAGTATATTCAGTAAACTGGATCTAGTGGTAGGGTAACTTTGAATAAGACATATGTCAAGGAGTGTCATTCAGTGTATTTGTTAATTTAGATTACTTTCAATTAAGGCGAACAGAAAAGGTGTGGTTTTCCACCAGGACAATGCAAGACCACACACTGCAAGAATCACTCAGGAAACAATAGCGCGACTAGGATGGGAAATTCTACCTCACCTCCGTACTCGCCAGACCTTGCTCCAAGTGACTATCATCTGTTTTTGGCCTTGGACAACCACATGAGGAATCGGCGATTTGAAAATGAAGTGGCTTTGGACAACGAACTAAAACATTTCTTTAATTCCCAAAGCAAGATTTTTACAAAAATGGAATATATGCTCTTGTGTCTAAATGGGAAAGTGTATTACTTGCTGAGGGTAATTATTTTCGGGATAAATCCAAGTTTAACCCGTTTTTTATGTTATTATTTCGCTACCTTCAAAACCGCACGAACTTTTTTGGTTGCCTAATAGTTTGTGATGGCAGGGTGTTTACCTTCTCTACTCATTCCATTTTTTGCCACAGTTTTTGAGCCGTCGAAGTTTTTTTTTCGCTCTGAGGTCACGGATTTTCTCATCAAATCCCATACAGTCAGCTCAATTTTCTAACCTCCATGGAATTGCATCTGATGAGGAGGAAGCGGAGGGGGATCTCAGGTCATGCTTTCTTCAAGCCGTCAAGGTACTCCTCTATTTTGGAATACTGTAGATGCTCATTTTCACCGGTGTACCCTTCCGTGTGGAGGAGTGCAGGGTAAAAACGTCAGACTAACGAGAAGATCTCGCACAATGGCTGAAAACGTTGAGCTCGGGTGTTCACGGGTTGGCACTGTTTTCGGCTGCCGGAAGACCCCCTGGGTCTTAGATCGGGAGATCTTTCAGCGGCGATGTTCACTGGGCTGAGGGAAGAATGAACGGCTTCCGATCTAAGGTCATGGGATGACACTGCTGACAGTTCAGTTGCGTTCATACGTATTCGAAGATTTGTATTTATATTCGTGAAATTGAGTCGAAAACCTGAGGTTCAGGGGGCCTTTCGGCGGGGCAAAATGTTTACAAATGTATATTCAAGATTAAAGCATGTCTGCCAATAATTCAAAATCAGTTTGCAGGCCATGAGATGGACTAGAAAGTCATTCAGCGAGAAGGGGTTTCAAAAGTGTCCTTAGCTCACATTTTATCCCCCTAAGTGACTTGAGCCGTTTCAAAAGGCATACCGCAAAGCAATTAGTGCCAGTTTTGATGGACATTTCCGTCGGAATTACGGTAATTGGATATTTTATATCGTTCGCTTTTCATTTGCTGTATTAGAAGAGAAATGGAGAAACCACTGACACTTGGCTGTTTCCCTCGCTCTCATTAATGCAGCACCACCCTGGTAATCTCACAATGCTGATGAGAGTGATTTGATTAGACAGCTCACAAGCATGTAAATGATGCTTTTTGTGGCCTCAGCGAAAACAAGGAGGCAGACGAGAACGAGCTCTATGAACTCAGCTTGATTATTCAGATGACTGAACTTTTCTGTGTGTTTATCAGTGCGTTACCGATAACGTGCACATCAATCCCTAGTCAGTGCAGCTCGCTGGAGCACAAACACCGCTGTGAGAATGAAGTACTTTTCCCGGAATGCTCTGAGCCCGAGTTCACACTTGCACTCTTGATTCACTTACAAAGTCGATCTCGTGTTCAAAATGCTGCGGATTTGAGGAGTAGGGTTCCCTTAGTTGGTTGGCTGGTTAACAGTTGAAAAAAAAACATTTCAACTGGTCGGCAATGGAGGAAAAAGCGGAAGGGACAGTCAAAAACCTTTGGAGTCACCCATTCCGGCTGCCTGTTCCGGGCAGTGATCAAGAACCTACTTCAGCTGCCTGCCATTAAGGACATCAGCTGTAACACCGACTGTGATATGGCTGCTGCTCCGTCCGTGCCGATTAAAAGCTAGAGCGTAGAGGAACTAGATTAACGCGTAGATTCAGATGTGCAGTAACGGAATAGGGTTATATGACAACATGACCTTCCTGCGTGGTTTTGCTGCGGA